GCTGGGAAGAAACCACCTCTTCCTTGGCTCGTTTTTCCGCTATTCCCGATCGCGCAAAAGTGTCCAAAACCCCGTTGACTTAACATGGGGAAAATGGAATCGCACGTGCCACGTGCCACGAGGTTTTAAGCGAGTAGCGACCGGTGCCAACAGGTAGATCGCCTGCGGGAGCCCATACACTGAAATTTTAAGAAAATCGAGCCACAAGTTTAGGCCTGACCCAAGTTGCCCCAATTCGCGGCCAGACATGCAAAACATAGCCCGGAGAAGGACCGCTCCGGTTGTTTTTCAATAGAAAAACACAATTCTAACGAATAGTGTTTGTCTTTTCAAACAACCTGCGGTTACGGCCAGACTTGCAAAACATAGCCCGGAGAACGACCGCTCCGGTTGTTTTTCAATAGAAAAACACAATTCTAACGAATAGTGTTTGTCTTTTCAAACAACCTGCGGTTACCGATGACTGAAACCACACATTAAAAATAGCAGTGTTTGCCGTTTGGAGTACCTATATTCACATTACCAATAATATGATACACAACAGGCCATAGAAAACCAGTGAATCAGAATGTTGAATTGTACCCCAATTTCAATATCAATATGGCACTTGGCAATAACAGTTAAACACACCGTTTTGATGTTAAATCAACAGAGAAAACTCCTGAACATAAAAAATGATCAGAATGTATAATAAGGATAACAGTATAAATAAAAATCGACGACATCAGCACCTATCATCGCCGTTCCACATTCACCACTCCCCATTCCACGCACAGATTGTTTACTCCTTGGTTTACCCCGTGTTCGCAGTCTCCCTGACGACGGAGATTCTTTACGCCCACCGACCAATCACGTTCAAGATCAGCGGGGCTTGGCCGCAGTTCTCGAACGCTATTTGCCAGATTAAGCAGGACCTTCGTCGTCAGTAAACTGTGAACACGGCGTTACATATTTCGCTATGGTAACAAAAGCGCCAGAATTGACTACCAGAATTGGATCCGAAGGTCAAATGGGTCACGTGACTGACAAGTTCAGATGGACAACACCAGGAAAACGGAACAACGTGCAATAACGTTCTATATATCATTGGAAAGAGCATCAAAAGTTGTATAAAATATCAACTTTTGACTTAAACATATCTTAAACGTAAAAAGTTATTAAGCATCAAAGACGCTCCCATTGACTTTCAAAGTTAAAATTTTTCATTTTTAAACGAGCTTCAAAAGAGCAAACGAATTCTGACAGCTTAACGAAGCATAACACCATGTTCTATGGTCTTTTCTCAACAAGTCCTGAAAGTTTAAACAAAATCGTATCATATAATTTTGTACAATGAGCGAATGAAAAAGTCTCTGCAAAAACGCCCATTGACTTAACATGGGGAGCGAAAAAAATTCAACTTTGACCTCGTGCAAAGACACGTTACGAAGTTCTGAGGGGTATACGGCGCACACCAGCGTGTACCCAAACGTGTTTGCCATAAAATGCTGGGAAGAAAACCACCTCTTCCTTGGCTCGTTTTTCCGCTATTCCCGATCGCGCAAAAAGTGTCCAAAACCCCGTTGACTTAACATGGGGAAAATGGAATCGCACGTGCCACGTGCCACGAGGTTTTAAGCGAGTAGCGACCGGTGCCAACAGGTAGATCGCCTGCGGGAGCCCATACACTGAAATTTTTAAGAAAATCGAGCCACAAGTTTAGGCCTGACCCAAGTTGCCCCAATTCGCGGCCAGACATGCAAAACATAGCCCGGAGAAGGACCGCTCCGGTTGTTTTTCAATAGAAAAACACAATTCTAACGAATAGTGTTTGTCTTTTCAAACAACCTGCGGTTATACGTTATATATTGCTACGTTACTGAATTACGGTATTTGTTAATTAACGCAGAAAATTATTTTATCGTACTACTTTATGCAATATGTCATCATCCACTACCCAGTGGAAACGGTTAGTCTCTAGTAAGCCAAATACTGCGCACAATGATCGCCGGCTTTGCAGCATCGTCGGTGCGGCGGTGCCTACGCGCTACTCGCTAGATGCGCTGGGCTTCCGACAGGGAATTCCCTGGGACTCCCCAGTGGGAAATCCCCGGTGTCGGTCCGGCCGGAATCCATTTCGTAGTTCCTACGTTATTCTATTATTTTCCGTACTACGCTGACGAAACATCCCAATTACGCTACGAAACGGAACTGACAGCTACGGGTTACCGAAAACTTCAAAATAACGTAACGTTGGCCAACTCTGCTCGGGCCATCATTTGCAAACATTTTCCTGTGTCATCATGAAAAGAGATGGCTTGATTCATGCCCTCAAGAGTTTCGCCCGACCTATTACAAAAGATATGTGGATGACTGTTTTCCTCATTTTTAACGACGTTTCACATGTAGATCGGTTTCTCAACTTTCTGAACAGTCAGCACCCAAAAATAAAGTTCACTAAAGAAATGGAATTTAATGGCTCGCTCCCTTTTCTGGATGTTAAGGTCGAACGGTCTGGTACTGAGTTAACAACTTCAGTTTACCGGAAACCAACTTTCACTGGTCTTGGTTTGAGCTTCTTTAGCTTCATACCGAGTTCAATCAAGAAGGCCATTGTTAGCTGTGCTATTTATGGTGCTTATGACCTTAGTTCAACTTACCACTATTTCCACAATGAGCTGAACTTCCTTTACAAATATTTTAGAGACAATGGATTCCCAAAAACACTTGTAGAGACCGCCATTCACAGGTTTTTGAAGAAAGAGTTTTCAAAAAGTCCTACTATGTTCCAGGTACCCAAGCTAGACAGGTACTTTGTGCTACCTTTTTTTTTTGGAAAACAATCAAACAAACTAAGATCTGGGGTAGAGTCCACTCTAAAAAAGTTTTATCCCTACCTGAACCCCAAGATCATTCTCCGCAACACCCGCAGCATAGGCTCTCTTTTCTCGTTTAAAGACGTAATCCCGAAAGCATGCCGCTCTGCTATAGTTTATCAGTTCAGTTGCCCCTCGTGTGAGGGGACATACATAGGCTCGACCTATGTGCGCCTTTATAGCAGAGTGTGCCAGCATCAGGGCAAGTCGGACAGAACGGGAAATTTTCTTACCTCTCCGGTAGCCTCGTCGGATGATTATATGGGTCTGGGACAACAAATATAGTAATTAAATCATGGTACACATCCCACATTCGGATATAAAGCACAAGTACGAACTATAATAAGTTTAATCGTCATGCATCGCGTGACGAGTATCCACCGTCCAACACGTTACCTGAGAAGCGGATCTAAGCGTAATGTGTGTGTGTGGGTGGGGAGGCACATTCTAATAATTTGCAAAGCCGGATCCACGGACTGGCGATGGATGATGACCGGCAGCTAACGTTTATGAACGGGAATGGCGGCCAATGATAGTCACTTGACGGACGTTGTTAATCGGGCAGGTCGGTTGGAAACAATAAATATATACATGATGATGAGGATAGGCCGCCGAGTTTCCACAACATGGGAACGCGAGAGTTCAGGCTAAAACTCCGCAAACATCTTCTGGCAAAACAACAAAACGAGTAGCACGATGTACAAATGTGATGTGAGCTGAGTGTGTGTGCGTGAGTGTGTGTGTTAGTTGTGCAACTGAATCCCGATGTTCCGTTTTTATGACATGTCAATCATAATAGCCATGTGTTCATGGACCGATTGCACGATGTGAATACAATACAATACAATACGATATGTCCTCAGGTGGACCAAATGGTGCCTAAATCCGTTTTCAGGACGCACACCTGATGTTTTTGGTCCACAGTAAATGAGACAAATGCTCGAAATGTCGAGGATGGCATACTGGTGCCGAGGACTGCGGACCTCGGTGTGGGGTTAAAGGCCTTTTTGGAGCTCCAACCGTCACCCCCACCAGAATGACATGCCCGACATTTCAAGATTTGCTTAAGAAAACCAAGTAGGCCGACTTTGTGCTTGAGCTGAGGGCTGTCCCTTCAGACGCTTCTGATACTTTGGAGTCATTGCAGCGGTACCAACGGTAAGTCGATTTTACAAATGAAGTATAATGTCCTTGATGTAGTGTGCCTACGTGATTTATAATCCCCGTAATGTACCAGGTAACGCCGTTTAACTGAACAGTAGGGGCGAGCGACACGTTTGACGTATTTTTAGAAGTGTTAGTGCCGTGTTCAAAACGGAGGAGCTGTATGCAGACAGCATCTGGAGCAACGAGAATTTGTGTGGATATTTCACTGGAGTGAGCATGGCACTGGGAACATAACCGTCCCTCGAGCGGCTGTGGGGCGAGTGAATTTGATATGCATTCCTGGAGAGACGGTGCCGATATTGGAACGCGAAGGATGGGTGGAATGAGCGGCCTGGGCGTCTCCAGGGTGGAGCCGCACGCGGTACATTTAATGGTGTCAGTGATTTCACCTATGCCTACATTGGCGCTGTCGGCTTGGCAAGATAGCATGGTTTCCAGCGTTTCGGCCACGTCCTGCTGTTGACCTGTCGTCAGGGACGGATTGAGCTGAGAAATAGCTTTGACGAGTTCTGTGGGGCGGGTGACCATTTTGGTAGTGGCCCTGAGGCTCGATAAAGCATTTCTTATCTCCGTGGAGGCGAATGGAATGAGGCTATCAGTTACCATAAGACACTGGGCGATGGAGTTGATGAAGCACGTGTTGCCTAGGTTGTTTAAACCACAGGGAGTGCGTGCACCTGATTGTGGTTCAGGTTGTGTTTTCCTTGCCCTGGTGTAATTGGAAATGGTCGGCCTCGCATGTGTCCGGTTTGCGCTGGGAGCGGGGGGCTCAGGGCTCCTATTCTCCGGCTCTGCGTCTTTCTGTGGCGGAATTTCAGGTCTCATGGTGAAGAGCGGTTTCTCAACTAGCGTCCATCTGCTGAACTTCTGCTGATTTCTCGATAGCCATAGCGTATAAGAGGCATGGAGGCTTGTCCTACCAACGGTGTCGGCTTCCTTGAGTGATTTTCTGCGGGATAGTCCCATGTATCTGAAGAATTAGAACAGGCTGTCCGATGTGACCCCTCGAGCTCCAACTTCCACTGCAAAGTAGTGCATATGCCAGCCATTCTTCCTGCCTGTGTTGATTAGGTCGATATAGTCCTTCTTCCCCTGCTTGCGCTCGTGAGCTTGGTAAAAGTTTTCTTCCCAGCAGACAGTGAGCTCAGCCACAATGCATGTCTTTGTTGCAGTGGACCAGATGGCGATGTCGGGACGTGCATTGGTGCTGGCAATCTGGGGAGGGAAGACGTATGTGTCGTGCTCTTCATCCCAGATTAGCTGCCAGTCGTCTGCCGCCGGTTTTCCTCGCTCAGTGTTGCGCTGCAGAGGGGGGACGTAATATTCGGTTCCGCTGCTAGATTTGAAATGGGTACCTTTTTTAGGTGCGTCCGTCTTTTCTAGCACCGGGCGAATGATTTCGATGAGTCTGCGAAGGACCATATCGTGACGCCAGTTGTATCGGCCGGTCATCAACGAGTATCTGCAGTTGCTGATGATGTGGAAGAGTGTGCAGTGGTGGTAGCCGCACAGGGAGCAAGAGCCCAAAGTGGATTTTTTCCAGAGAAGTAAATTTGCTGGAGACGGCAGTGTATCTGACATGGAATTTAGATAAAAGCTGAGAAGTTTGTCGGAGAAGCCGTAAATGAGCTTCCTCCAGCGGACATCCAGGAACATCACGGCTTCCCAGGCGAGAGGTCTTCCTTGCTTGGCCATGTTGTACACATAGACCAGCGCGTTTTCTTCTTCGCTCTGTTTCACCAGACAGGATAGCTCTTGCCGGTGCTGTTTGGGTGTCATTTTAGATGCCCGCGGGAGTGGGATTAAACCTAGCCCTGCTCGGCCAAAATTGCCGCGGCAGAGCTCGTTTAATGCCAGGTGACGCTCTCTCTCCTCCAGCTCTCGGACACCATTCCAGTGTTTTTTGGATCGGAGACGATTCGCGATGTGGCCATATATGAATTGTGTAGAGTTATCGACAGCGTATTTGAGCTGGTGAAATTTTACGAGTTGCAGGCATTTCAGTCTCGACGTGAGCGGTGTTAAATGCAGGCCACCGCTGCCGTGGGATCTGTAGAGGACTGATGTAGTGGTGCTGCGCGTAAGACCCGCCCATTTTTTAAGGTACGGTGTGGCGAGTGATTCAAGTTTTTTTGCAAATGTGATCGGAAAACAGTAAATTGTAAATTCCCACGAAAGTTTTGATACAATCATATGTTCATAGATCCACAGCTTACCTGTATTTGGCACAGGGTCGGCGTCGACCGTCTTCAACATCAGCAGCAGCTTGTCCGTGGTGGCGTTTCTGACTGAGGTGTCTGACAGGTCCTTGAAGATCAGCTGACCCAGAAATTTCATTGGCTCTTGATGAATGAAAGGGATCGCCTCGCCGTGGATGAAGAGCTCTGGATCGGTTGGAGCCATCGTAGACGTGCCCGGGATTTTGACGAATGATAATGATCTGCATTTTGCTGGTTTTGCTCTCATGGTTGCTGACCACCGCAAGAAATGTTCAACCGTGGCGAGCATCATCTCTGCTGACGTTTTGTTCTTTGCGATGAGAGTGAGATCGTCTGCATAGGCCCGTTGATTGTGGGGCGATCCAGTGCCGACGTTGTACCCGCGGCTGCTATGTTTGCTAAGTTGATCGAGACATATTTGAAAAACCATCAGAAACAGGACCACTGACAGAGGGCAGCCTTGAAATAGCCCTTGCTCGTAACTGATTTTGTCGGTCGTCCATTCGTGTGTTGATATCTTGACAGCGAGGTCATCATAGTAGCTGTGGATGATCTTCCGAAGTATATCAGGGACGTGGTACCACTCAGCTGCAAACTGGATGAGGTTGTGACTGACTGAGCCATATGCGTTAGCCAGATCCAGCCAGCAGACGGTGATTTCCTTTTTTCGGCGCTTGGCGTCTTGGAGAGCTTCCATCAGTGCCTGGGTGTGTTCGACGCACCCTGATATACCTGGCAGAAATCCTTTTTGTACTGAAGTTTGGAGGTAGTCGTTAGTTACTAAGAATTTAAGCAGACGTCTTGCGATTACTTGAAAAAATAGTTTGCCACTTGCGTTTGAGAGAACGATAGGCCTACATTCCCCTGGGCTTGATGGGTTGTCACTTTTGGGGATCAAGGTTACCCTTCCAGTTCTCCATTGGGGTGGTATTTTGCCGCTTTTCCAAATTCTGACGAAGAGTTTGAAAACGTGGCCCATAATGCGTGGACACTTCTTGTAGACGATATACGGGATACCATTTGGGCCGGGAGCCGATTTGTTCCTTGTTTTCCTGATGATCGACTGCATTTCATGCCATTTTGGTGGAGCAGTCGATATCGGAAACGTCGGTTGTCGGGGCCGGTCCATGCTTTCAGTGGCTTCGAAAGCTCTGTCTCTTTCTGCGTCCTTGTATATGGTGTTGTAGTACGTTTCTGCGTCATTTTTGGAAAATTGAATTTCTTGTTTTTTAGTTGGTTCAAGGAGGCGCTTGCTGTAGCCATACGGGTCTTTCCGAAAACTGTTGCTTGCTTTTTCCTTATTTCTTCTTTTTGTTTTCTTCTCAAGAAGCTTACGGATTTTGTTGTGCAATCTCATTACATAAGCGAATTCTTTGCGTATCTGGAAAATATCTTCTTCTTTTGTTTCATTTCTTAATGCTTTCTTAAACCTTTTCTTTAGGGCGTTTTTCCTCTGTCTCAAGTGTTCCATGTTACGATCTTTGACTGTGGATCGCGTACGTGGTTGTGAGGGTGTAATGGTGCCAAAGCGCTCTTTAAGATATTGGTACATGAAGGATTCGCGTCTTTCAAGTTGAACCCCGGCATCGTCAATATCTTTGAAGGTCTCAAATGCACAGCTGATTTCATCATCGATGTCTTTCCAAGTATCTTCATCGGTGGCGGGACGTAGCTTCAGCTTTGCTTTGATGTTACTTATGTCGGCTTTTCGTTGGTCTGTTTGAAGATGTTTGTGCCGAAAAAGCGTGCCTGCTTCAGTGGTGGTGCTATGGTGGTTAACCTGACCGTTGCTGAGCTGGCTCGACTTATTGGCAGATTCGACTTCGATTGAGTCGGGCTCTGCATGCGTGACGTTTTTCCGGCAGTATCGTTGATGGACTGATACTCCTCGTTGGTTCTTAAAATATCTTTGACATATGTTGCATTGATTATTATCTTTATTATCTTGTGTGGCAGGTCTGAGTAGCACCTCCCTTGTCGGTTGTCGTTGACATACCTATCACATTCGACCCAGGATGTGAAGAGAAGTGGGGGCGGATCAGCAGAGACTGTTCTGGGGCTGCCAGAATTGAGGCGGGTACAGGCTGATCAACACAAGCTAAATAGCTTACCCACCGTCCCAGCTGGTCCCTGGCGGAATTCCCTACGCCCATCAGGAAGAAATCCTTATAAACGGTAACTACCCGCTGGCGGTTTGTTTGTGCTTGATTGCACGTCCACTTTTCCTTGTGGGCACGGAAGGCCGGTGGGGAGGTCTGCACTGAAGCTCGAGCTCCCTCATACGCCCTTTTTGCCGTTGGAGCTGGGATCCAGTTCTCGTCCGCCGCGCTGCCGCCTAAGCCTACGCCTAATACCTAAGCCTAATACCAAAGTTTTTAGGGGTGGTGGTGTTGGAGGGGGGAATCATGTTTAAAAGTTTAAGCAAGCATGTGCCTTAACCTTAGGACTCCTATCGGATCTGCCACCACATTGCCTCAACATTACACCTGTGTCAAAGCTCAATATGTCTATTTTGTGGTGTTATCTTCCTACTTCCAAATGCATGCGCCTAAAACCATGTCAATTTGGGAAATTTATGCTCCAAAAAAAGTACAAAATATTCAACGAAAACCCTTTCATGTGGTTCCTAGGTTGACCTAGGAACCCTTGCATAGAATACCACTCACCAAAGACATTTATATCACGAAAATAAAAGAATAAACAGGCCGTATCAGGAGACTTCAACGCCAGAAACTGATTTTGCTCGAAACTTTGACATGACGCGGCAGGATGGGTTTTAATTTCTCGAAAGTTTTACTTGTACAGCTGGTCTTCGGTTGTCTTGGAAGTTGGAGCAAAGGAAAATCATAGGAGCACCGTGATCTGTGACTAGCGACACACCCTAAATTGTCCATGTCCATGTCCATCAAGGCCCTGTTTCGCCGCCCTGACGCTGGGAGCTGAGGCGTGCCCCTGACGTCACTTGAATGACGTTGCGTGCGATCCGTTAGCTTATAATGAATCGCGTTTGGAACAGAGGTCCTAAAGAATCAAGTACCTATAGAGAGAACAGAGGTTTGAGTGCGAATACTGCTAGCGTGCTGATGGTGCTGGCGCTTGGGTGCTAGCGTTTTGCGATGACGTCATAGCGTAGCGTCAGAGAGAAGTTTGTTAATATTGCCATGGAAATTGGAAACCCAACGCGCCGACGCGCGCAGCGCACTGCAGCGCTCCGCCGTGAAACAGGGCCCAGAACTTGACAGTCACGTGACCCATTTGAACTTCGGATCCTATTCTGGTAGTCAATTCTGGCGCTTTTGTTACCATAGCGAAAAATGTAACCCCGTGTTCATAGTTTTCCTGACGACGAAGATTCTGCGTAATCTGGCCAATGGCGTTCGAGAAACGCGGCCAAGCCCCGCTGATCTTGAACGTGATTGGTCGGACGGCGTAAAGAATCTTCGTCGTCTAGGAGACTGCGAACACGGGGTAAACCAAGAGGCAAACAATCTGCGCGTGGAATGGGGGGAGTCACTGAACTCTATGCTCGGGGTTACATGAGCAGAGTTAATGCGCATTACAAACGGACTACAATGGTGAGCGAATAGGAAAATCCGTTCCTGATACGCATTTACTTGCTCATGTAACCCCGGTATATCCCTCGCCCGTATTGGTGTTTTTCCAGCCGCGAACGTATAAGGGGGGGGGGGTCCGTTGGACCCCCCCCCCCTTGCCGTTTCGCCCCTGATCGAGCTAGAGCTTCGCGGAAAAAACGAGCGTGTTGCCCGTGACGAGAGGAAGCCGATGATACCTAATTTTAAGGTCCTAGGTCATTGGTTGACCTTGCAGGTCAGGTCAATGACCCAAAAGTCGGAAAATCGGGACCTGTTAGAACTAGAGGTGGCAAAATGTGGACCCGAGGACCCGGTCCAAAGAACCAGTCTGGACCCATATGGGTCCAGACCGGTTCCTGGAAATTTTTCTGACGGGTCCAACCGGGTCCTACCATAAACTATACATCTTGCACACTACACATTATTACAAAATATGAAGGGAATTAAGTGAATGTTTCTTTGCACACAATAGCTCATGAGTATTCCCAGTGGGAAATAGACTGTTTTACATGATGCAACTAATGATTCCTACAAGTAGTTTGTATTAATTGACTTTTGGGGAACGGGTCCAACTGGTTCCGGTTCCAACTAAGACCGGGTCCGACTGGTTCCAGAAATGTTCAGCCGGGTCTGGTTCGAGTCTGGTTCCCAAAATTTTCATCTTTTGCCACCTCTAGTTAGAACGGCATAAAGTGTGGCTGCTATGGGGTTTTTCGGGGCGCTGATCACGAATATCATGCTAGTTTTGATCACAGATGATGTCTTCATGCATTTAGTCCAGGTCGAGTCAGGTCAGGTCAGGTCAACCAGTAGGGGTCCTGCCGGGTATTCCTATTAGGTGTCAACCGCCTCTGACAGCTTCGTAGCATGTTACGAAGGCACCAAAACTACTTCGTAAATGTTCATATGGTTGCTAAATTCGAATTCAGCTCCAAAAACTGGCCTAGAAACATGTAAAACTCGAAAA